AAACAGGTCGAACAATTTCATAAACCTCACTCACTGTAATTATCATTTTTTCTAAAAGTTCATAGCTTCAAATATTGGACACAGCTTTTTATTACATGTTTTAAACTTTTGGCAGAGATCTTACGACACATACAAGCTTAATTATTTTCTAAGTTCTATTAATTATCGTCTATCATTATCTACTTCCTATTTATGAAACGTTTCGACGGACTACAACAAAGATCAAGGGACACGGTAGCCTTCTGAGGGCAATTAGTTTGACACAGTAAATGATTGATGAGGTTTCGAGTATTATTCGTCGATTATCGAAGAACGCTATCAGTGGGGAGGGGAGGGGGGTGAGGGGGTAAAGAGTTCCCTTTACAGCAAGAGGCATTCTTTTCTCAGAATCGAGCTACGACGATAAGCGTGTCTTACGAAGCCCTTCCGGTGACGTTGGAAGTGGCTCGTTTCCAGCCGATATCGCTACTCCGATAAAAAGCGTAAAAAAAATGTTCCTGTTTTTCCTTACGGCGGTTAATCTGTTATCACGTCGAGCTTACGACGTCCAGGCTTAAAATCTTTCACTGGCGCCAAGAATATCGCAGAATGTGGGATCAATCTAGAAGATGCAGCACTCTTCCTCCAAAATTATTCGTTATCGTTAGACTGCAGATTTTTATTAAAAATAAAACATTCATAGTATCACTTTAACTCCCTGAAGCTCACGATTTTAAATAAAACCAAATACTTAATTGCACAGAATTGTTTTTATTATAAGAAAATGGATAAACACATTCATTTCGATTATTTAACATAAAACATTACTCAAAATAAGAAAAAAAATAATAACATTTCTATAAGTCCGTTTTTTACATAAATTTTAAGAAAAGAAACAACACATACCGTTATGAACAAACAAAAATTCACTGCATCACAAAATTCGCCAACCTTAATCACCGCAGCACACACAACTTAAGAGCTAAGCAAAAGACAGTCAGCTTTCAATATTTTGTAGACCTTTAAACATACAATTTTTCTGGAAATACGTAAAATCCGCTGTCTAATTATCATGTTACTTCATCGATGTTTGACTGAAGTCTGAAGTAACTGGCAATTTCTATTTGTGATTAACTGAAAGAAAAACATTATTACATTGTTTGGACAATCTCCTGGGCGAGGGAAATAAGCAGCTACCCAATTACGAGAAAGAAAACGGATAAAAAGAAACCGCTAAACAGTGAAATTAAGAGAATCGAACGGAAAACAGTAAGAAGAGAGAACCGTAAACACGCGTGACAATTGAAATAGATCTCTGACTGGCGTCTTTCGCGTAAGTCGTAAGTAATTGCGGTTTCGCGACACGACACGCAGACCCGATTTTTGCGGTGCGGATCGACGCGAATCGACAAAACCCGATCGATCGGTGATTTGTCCCACTCGTTTAAAAGACAGACGGATAAGAAAACGCGGGCGAGGATCGTGGGGCCAGCGCCCCGTTCCTGACGGGGGTTAATTACATTCTTTGCGAGTCCCGCACGAACGAGTGAAACCGCATTTTGCTTCCTCGATTGCACTTTAGCCAGACCACAGTGCAATAAACGGTAGCGTTGCGGGTACACGCCGGCGAGTAGGCCCTTTAAAACGTCTTTGCACCGTCTTTTTCCCGTGTATGTTTCTGGGAAAATTCTTACTGGGATTCCGCGAACGATGAAAAGACATCACTGCGTCGTCGTACCGTCTCCAGTTCTCGACGGCTTCTTGAGGCCTGTCTCTAGGGCAGAGGATTTGTCCTCTCGGGACACTTGGTACTGGAAATTAAAAGAACAAATTATGAACAGATTAGCTAGTGCTAGAGTGAGGGTAAAGAAAATTATGATTGTTCTATGAATCACAGATACTAGTAGACTTATATTAATTAAAATACTAATTATATTAATATTTATTATTATATTTTTACTATTAATTATTACATGTTTACTTTATACTAATTGTTCTATGAATCACAGATACTAGTAGACTTATATTAATTAAAATACTAATTATATTAACATTTATTGTTATATTTTTACTATTACTTATTACATTTTTACTTTATACTATTAATACTAATTATATTAATTAAAATAAAAGAACAGAAATCGTATCTACGTGACTTTCACTAATAGTCAGATTAGAAATTAAGAGAACTAATTAAAGATAGATTACTCAAACAATTATTATCTGACTATCTTTGTATGTACATAAATTTCAATAAAAAGGACAAACGATGAGATAAAAATTCGGCACATTATCCTAAAGAGAAAATATCAGAGATGAACCGCCTGAAGCAGTTATTAATAGCTTCTAGGTCTACTTTCGAGGAGAGACATCCAACCGAGGATTTTACGAAGTTTCACTTGGATCGTATCTTGTAATGGCTATCAGTGGTACCAGTCTACCTGGTGGTGGACAGCGGATGGTGGGGTGTCGCCGGACGGAGTTCAAAAGAGAGGAAAAGAGGTCGAGCGAGGGGGACAGAAGGAAGAGGTTGAAGGTGGCGGTGGGAATAAAGGAACGAAATCAACGAGGGTGGGGCAAACGATCCACGATGCGGGAGAGTTCCACCCCCACTTGATCCCACAATCAGAAAGCCCCGCCTCTAGAAAGCCGCGTGACGTCACGCAGACACTTGTTACGCCTTGCCAGTAATGCTGGATCACCAACTTGGATCTTACCAAACCGGGGAATTCACCCCTTTCGACCCCAACGGCCGGCTGCCCGCTCGCCTTCCAACCCCTCAATCGAACTTCACAAACGAGATCTTTTAACCATCAATCATCCATTATTTAAATCCTATGCATATGATCCTACTTACTTCTAAAAGAAACGTTAATAAATCATAATTGAAAATTTTGCATGCACAAAAATGAGAATGGAAGATGTTATCAAAATTTGTTGAAGGAAACGTTTAATTAATTTCCTATCTTAATTAGAACGACGCGTCACCGACTGTTGGAATTCCCTAATACGCTGGCTGCTAATTATTTGGACAAAAGTAGATGAGATCCTAAAAAGAAGAAAGCGTACGATTACGGTATCGCGGGTGCCGAAAGATTGGTCCGGGTTGGGAATAACCCGATAACAGTTCGACGGAATTTCGACGGTACACCCTGCCCTCTCCTTATCGGTGTTAACAACTAGTCGAACGATTATTCCGACGAGCGCTAATTAGAATTTCATGAATATGAAACGATCGGCCAGCGCGCCCACGTCACTACGTTTCCCGACGAATTAATGGTGACAGAAACGAATCTAGCGCCGATGACGTGGTATAAAATCTGGCTTGTTACATGAATATGCAAATTAATTCGCGAGTAGACACAGTTGCAGCCAGATGCGACGCGATGACACATAGGATTTTCCGTAAACTCGCTAGCAGCGCGCCGCGTTTACCTTTCACGTTGTAACGTACGGCCTTCGATTTTCCACGGACCGGTTAAAATTAACTCCTGTTGATTTTTATCCACCGCGCGAAAACGCTCGACAAGCGAATACCCGTTTCGCAATTACGGCTATTACGCTTGGTTATGTCATCGTTTACTTTCAATTAACCTGTTCGACTTCTTAATTTCCTGGCAAACTTCATACGCAACTAACAATGTACTGCTGAATCTAAATAGCTTTTTATTCGAACAGTTCGGAAAACTATGACAATGCAATAATTGCACAAATTACACCGTACACTTCACCATTAGTGTTCCAATATTTCATGTTATAAATACGGTGACCATCCGTTCTGTATTTCCGGGGACTGTTCTGTATTTCAGCAGCTTGTCCCCGAAATTTATTTAAGAAATACGGAACATATAAATGTTCTGTATTTATTTTTTAGCCTCGTATTTGCATATCATATGTTAAACATCGAACTTCCTGTTCAAAAGGTCTGGGGTAAGTGCCAGAAGGCACCCCCGCCTCCTCTACTTCGTGGGCAGATCCTTGCCATAATCTCATGACAAACACATTCTTTGATCCTCAAGGAATATCGAACATGTGTATCTGTGTATCTCATAATCATTTATTATTAGTTTAAACGAGTCAAGTTTCATCTAATTTACACATCTAGTTTATCATAATGAAATCTCATTTAGTTTAGGTACATCAGTCTTATGGTGGTCCAACAAATGTCTATCAAGGCAGGATAAGACAGATAATCTTATTTTTCCCATACTATTCATGTAATAGAACATTCTTTCTGCTTCTTCCACTGATTCAGAATCTAAAACTTGGGGAAAGATATGTATAAATTATATAGCATCATTTCTTGCTGTTTGTGTGTTATAATTCTCACCTTGTTGTCGATTTCGATCCCGAAAATATGGCCACTGTAGTTATGAACTGTTTCACATCTTAATTTAATAGCATACTTTATACTATACCGTTGAAATAACTGTAACACTGCACCACATAATATGCACTACAATACTTTTTATTGTATAAAACGTCGAATTGATTATCGATCGAGATCAGATTAAATTAAGTTAGATGCAGGGATATCTGCGCATCCCCTTATTAAGGCTAAATGAAAAATGGGAACAGTATGAAGTCAATTAGCTATTTTATCTTTACATACTGTAAAAGTGATATCGTGAATCAGAGCTACTCAAAATATTAGGAAATTAGTAGAGAAACATATTGAAATAGGGTATACAACGAAGAAATATGAAAACATTGAAGAGTAGTCAGAGAAGGACAGACGGTGCTCAGATGTGCTATTTTATGTTTAAGTATTGTAAACCAGTTCCTCATGTAACAAAACTACTCAAAGTGTTAGGAAGTTAGTCTGAGAAGGATACCTGATCAAAGGAAGAAATATGAAAACAATAGAACGGCTGTCAGAAAACGAGTGCAGGGGATCTGAGGGCGGGCGATCCAACAGTGGGGGGTTATGCTGTAGCGTCGGGACGGGACGCGACGGTGGCGGGAGTGCGCTCGACGACGAGACGGTGGGGAGCGTCGGAATTGCGAGGCTTATGCCGTCCCGGGCCGCTTACGCGGTACACGCGGCCCGAAGCCGTGCCGCCGGCATTACGTCGCGCACCGTCGACCGCGACTGACGTTCGTGCAAAACGTGCCTAGTTTACCCAATAACTCAACTCGATCCCGACACGTCCGAGCACGGCGTCATCGATCCCCGCCGTCTATCGAGCTCGATCGTGGAAACAGTGAGACATTCGATTCGTGCGGTAAATTCCGAAGCGCCGTCACGTCCGTCGTTCAACAACCTGTAGGAGCTTCCGTAAAACGCGGTGATGTGATTGAAAATAGATCCGCCGATCGATTGGGACATAGTGACATCTCGCGGGTCTCCAAGTGCGATTGACTTTTTAACGATTGTGAGAGGTGTCGGATTGATAAATCGATGCGTCGACGCGTAGAAGAGCGGGACGATTGATATCGGTACGTTCAGGATGGAACTCGGTGAGGTTTCGAAGGTGCCGAGGATGTCGTGCGCGATGAAAGACACGCGGTGAGCATCCGATGCGTCCGTCGTTGTCGCGCGGGTAAGAAAAGCTGGAGCTGCTGGTAGCGAGAAGGTAGAGCATAAGGATCGTGGTGGCAAGGTGAAATCACGACGTCCTGCTTGGAGGGTGCGTGCTTCGGCGACAAGGGGCGGCTACTGGCCGATGGGATGCATCTACCGGTGGGTTCCGTGGGCTGCGGGGAGAATTACGCGAACGTTGGATCGTACGAAGGCGGCGGACCGTGCGGCCCTTCACTGGCGCCTCTCCAGGGGGTGAACACCAGGTACCAGCAGGCCGACGACGCCGACACCGGGGGTGCTGGCGGCGAGATGAGCGAAGGTGCCGCCGTCGGCGAGCTATGGTGGACTGACAGGCTCGTCGGCGAGGCACAAGCAGAGCACCCCGGTGAACTCGTACGGACAGGTTTGTATTATTAATAATATTCCAAAAGTTCTTATCTGATTTAAAAAAACGACCGAAACATTTATATTTCATGGTAAAGTTATTTCATACAGTTATCCCTGTTTTCTATCATTCTGCTCACAAACAGGTGAATTCCTTTTTCGTAGAGACTGGAAAGTCGACCAGATCGAAGCTGATAGTCCAAATCAAAATCACTATTTTTAAATCGAACAAACATGTTTTTGATTGCTTCGAGAGCAGTGCAGTCCAAATGCTTTTTTTTTTACAATATCAGTCAAACCATTTTGAAACTCGTATCACATAACGAAAATCAATTTTCTTTTCTGCATATTAAAAAACCACTCTTATACACCAATCAACCTAAATCAGGATTCATGAGTAGACTGCGGTTTATGCAAATTCCTATTCTCACAAATAAAATTAAAGAAAAAAAACGCACATTGTGTTCTCCTCTAAATATTATAAACTGTACTTTGGCAATTTTCCATTCCTTTAGATATTACTGCACGCTGTGTTTTTTCAAATTATATAAAAGTCTCATAAATTCATTAATATCCACAGTCTAGTTATGAGGGTACTAGTTTTCGATAGATTTGTACCAAAACGCCTATGTTGAAGTTCGATAACATTTGATTCATTCTAAAGATCAGGCACAAGCTTTTACATTCACTTAATACCTGCACTGTGAATTTTTATGCAAAATAAAACATTCGTAATATCAGCTAAAAATATGTATTTCATATACAAATTAGTTTTGTCTTTTAAATATTACAACGCTCTGTAAAATAAAAAATAATCTGAATAAATATAGAGAATTCTCAAAACTTTAATTATGCTTGATTAAGTATCTATATTAAAACTTCGTTTTCCTATCACGTTACTTCATTACATTTGCAAAATTCATAAATAAAGAATTTATACTTTGCACAAAGGCTTAAATGCAACATACAGGTTGAACTGAATCAATACGAATTGCCATTTAATATTATATACATACACATAATGTGTCAAAAACGCCTGGTAGAATTAATATCAGTTATTAAGAATGTAATGGATTGGCAATGAGCCATATCAGATACGAAATTCATGTAAAACACTTTATCATTTACTAATCTAATAATAATTTTTATTATAGTCTATAAAATACTGAAAGTTGTAACAGTACATAAATAATTTGGCATGAGTGTGCACGAATTAGGTCGGGTATCGAGGCTTGCGAACTTAATACTGCCCTAAATAATTAATTGTTCTTATTAATTAACTATCAGATCGTATTAGGAATTTCTTAGAATAAATTATTGTTCATCAGTTTAATTATATAGATTGCCCTCACACGAATTTATGAATTTGTATGGTATTTAATTATTCACTTCATAAGATTGAGGGGGAGAAGATGTGCAAAATATTCAACACAGGTGAAATTGAAAATAGCATACATATGTAAATGTCCTATCTATGAAAGCATCAGACCAAGTCGCTAAAAGATACTGAGTGGCTGGAAATAATTAAAGCACCGAACAAAAGACAGAAGAAGCTAACACATTTTATTAAAGGAAGCTTAGGACTTAGAGCACTTTGTTTAGAAGAATAATACNCTATTAAAAAGCTAAAATTATAGTGATTTCAAATTTTTCATGGGTAATAGTATCATCTACAACTTTTACTTGAAGCATTTTTCGATATTTTAAGAAAAAAAAATTTTCGATTTTTCCTAAGGGGTTTCCCTTCAAATTTCGCGAAATTTTCGTTTTTTGCTCATAACTCCCAAACGGATGGACTTAGGGGGACATTTATAGGACCATTTTGTAGAGGACGATGAGATCTACAATTTCTGCATAAAATTTTCTCGCTAGCTTTGATAGTTTACGAGTAATTTGCAAAAAACCGTTTTTTCGTTTTTCGCAAATAACTCGTACACTATCGACGCTAGTGAAATGTTTTTACACAGAAATTGTAGATCTCATCGTCCTCTACAAAATGGTCCTATAAATGTCCCCCTAAGTCCATCCGTTTGGGAGTTATGGGCAAAAAACGAAAATTTCGCGAAATTTGAAGG